AACAAACCTACATATAACCACAATGGTGTGATTATGGCATTTCGATTTTTTGCCAAATTCGTCCAGCCCCATCTCGGAAACATCCCTCACAGAGCAGAGACCCAGGCAGCAGGTTCCATCAGAGGCACTGTCATCACGCCAGCCCCACGCTATGGATCATGGGATGGATGGTGCGCTCGGGCAACGGAACTGGTCATTTTACAGGGATGACAGACGGGAATGAGTTGATGCAATATAGAAGAGGAGAAGAAGTGGTAATGGGCTGATGAGATAGAACCAGTGTTGGGAGTAATGTAATTATTGTTTTTGCTGTGACGCTGTAATGTAAGGCATTACACCAAAAAAAGTAATATTATACTGTCCTTCGTAAAGATAGGATGTTACCTATTGCAAATTAAAAAAGTGTTTTGTTTTTGTAGGCCACCACAAGATCAGGTGAGAAAAAATTTGCGGCAATAGTAGCTGCCTTAAAGGTACACTGTAGTTTTTTACTCCCATCTAGCGTTGAAATCATGGTACTATCTTGGTACTACGAGTGCTCCGAAGGATAATGTGTCTTTGACATTGGTCCTCAACTCCCCAAGTTTTTAGAATCTGTTGTCTTTCTATGTACTATTTAAGAGTGGTATTATCTTTCCCCCTGTATTCATTGCGTCTGATATTATTTTGTTGAATATTTTCCATTGATAAGAATTTTTAAGATAGTTTTTAAGATATTCTATTATGAAATCAACAAATGGCGCTTCCACCACTACAGAAAGACCCTGTCTTTTTTCAGGAATAACAAACTACATCTACCAGCATTGACAAATCCTGCTTGTACTCCACATTGTCAAAAGGAATTAGAGGAATTATTGACGGAGAATGCCCCTGGTCAATGACTCCACACTGGCTGCATTGGGGAATATGTGCTCCTTCATTAGATGCTTCATGATAATTATATTCCGTAAAATCTCAATTAGACTTCAGGGGCACGGTCTTGGGGTTGTCTTAGCCTTAACATTTGCGCAAATAAGCAAAATATGTCGACCTCTAGTACAAACATATGTTCAGGTGCCACAGGCAAATGCAAGAACTGCTGTGGTAAATGCTGGACGTGAACAGAAATGACAGTTGAACATTGCATATGAACACAAATCATTAAAGTTTTGTCATCTGTTATGAAGTTTATTTGATTTATCATAAAATGTGAATTGTGTTTTGCCTGTTTTTTTTTTGTTTTTTTTTATTCCAAAGAGCGTGAATATGAAAAATTTTTAAAGGCATTTTACAAGCAGACTTGGGCAGCATGCACATTGCAAGGTAAACTCAGGGCAAAAGCTGACATTTCAGATACATCTTCTACACTGGGGGTTTATGTAAGACTTTGTGCTCAACTGTCACATTGTTTCACCCATTACAAAACATCAAAAGACATGGGAACAGGATTTATGCAATGCAAATATGTCATATATGTTAGATTGCATTTTGAATGTGGTAGTAGTAGGCAGGTCATTATCAGAAAATATGTACTGACAGGGCGAAGGGTCTGCTTCTGCTTTTTATACGACTTTTATGAATACCAAAAGGTTTATTTAATTACTGCAAAAAAAATGTTCCCAAAGGTTTTCCCGTGCCATGACTAGGCGAGTAACAGTTAGGCTAGCTAGCTACTTCAAAACTAGAAGTCTCTGGAACTACATGAAAACTGAACAAAGAATTCTGGACATCAGTGATGAGTGACCCAAATATAAACTCAACCTAAATCTATGATCCTCTGAAAATGTGTCCTGAAATGTTCTATTAATGTTAATAGTTACTTCCCGGTTTACTGCGATCACTTTCTGTTGCATTAAAACAGTATTTATATATATAATACCTATTAACGGTTTAATTAGCATTTTTATCAATGATTGCATCACATGTAGTCTATGTTTTCAACTTCTGCAGCTTTTTGTTCATAAAAGTAAAAAAGTTATTTTGATTAGCATTTTTGAATATTACAAAGTACATTGTGGTAAATAAATCTGAGGCAACCAGAGTGAGACTGGCATAATGTAAAAACGAATATTAGCCTTGTTAGCATGTTTTATGATATCAAGTAGAGTTAGCTAACTTGTCCAACACTAATTAGCTTGAATCTCACAAATAAGGCTAAAAGGTTAAAAGAGTTGCACACTATTATGTACAAAACGGATGAAAATATGTTTATACCTTGTTCAGATGACAGTGAAACCTCCTACAGATTCAGCCCAGACTGCTGTCTGTTCCTGTGAGATACCCTTCTCCTACGTCATCGCCGCCATTTTGGCTCCCCCTAGCGTTTCTATGCGTGAAAAGGTGCCACTTCAAAGCCGTTTTTTTAACATATTCATCTGAACATGTCAAAATTAACACCCGAAATATTATAAACACATATTGTAGTTATATATTCTGGATAGCAGCATATTAAATTCTAGTACTACTTTAAATCAATGGAGCGTTCTACTGCTGCTATGTGTACTTTGTAGCACCTACTATACTTCTAAACGATTCATTGAAGCATTTATTTATTTCCTGCCAATTGCAAAAAGTGCATATTCAATCAGCTCTAGATCACCTATGAAGTCGTGTGCGGTCTAGAATGCTTGTGAGTAGAGTGGATGCAGAAGATTAGTGAAATAAACATGTCTTAGTCAAAAAAACTCCAGGTTTCTAGGTTTGACAAAGAAGCTATAGGTTGCAACCTGTTTAAAAGCTCCTTGTGGATAACTTTTATGGTTCTTTGACAATAAAGCAAACTTTAGCCCTATAATGGCATTGTCTGGGTCCCAACATTTTTAAGTTTAAATATACAATAAAATATCTGCTCATCTTTGGGATGCAGAGGTGCCCAAAAGCGGCACAGAGCAATAAGCAGGGCAGCACCGGGGAAAGAGAGAGGAGGAGACATTTAGTGCCGTCATATATTTTCAGGGCAATTTTAGCTGGTTTTGCTCCAGAGAGTCGGAAGAGCCAAAGTGGAAGAGAGTAGAGCCTTTCATGCAGACGGCAAAGCAGACCAAACAATGTGGAGTAAGTGGAGTCGTCAATGTATAAAGCACAGCACTCAAAACACTATTTTGGAAATCATTTGGATGTCATTGATTGGTAATTTATGTGAAATCTTGTGTCGGGGTCCATACAGTCATAGAAAACCTTTCAAAATCATAGAGCATTTAAACTCAATTTTTAAAGAACTAGAAAGGTTTTGGTTTTGAAACAGTTTTATAAATGTGAAGTTTACAGTTGGGGATTTGAATGCGGTACGCAATCCTACCACCCCTATGCTACTATAACATTATACTACAGGTAGATTTATCAGAAAAACAACCATACAAACCCATGTTAATTAAAGTAAAAATGTGTCATGTCATGTCAACAAAAAATATATCATATCGTATTGTTTGGTTGGGGCAGTGCATGTTCATCAGCACGTCTCTCTGGATTGTACTCTTGGACTATTTTGCATCTGTTGTCCCATGGTCACAAACATACTCATTCAACCTGAACTATTGTACATGTTTTTAGTTTCAGCAGAAAACCTAAGCAGACACAGGGAGAACATGCCAACTCTGTCGAGAAAGACGTTGTCTGGAGGTGGAATCGAGCCTCTATCTGCTGCACCACTGAGCCGTGCCGTCCCATACCTCCCTCTATCTCCATAATATACAAAATAAATACACAAAAATAACCAAATGCCCAGAATAAGTTATAAACAAACCTTTCATAAATGCTGGATAATGTGATGCTAAAATTTTCCTCTCAACTCCTTTAAAATAAATCCCTAAACCATAAATATACATCAAGGACTTATGTAAGTTGGAAAATGTAAAAAAATACTTTTGAGACATTCAAATGCAATGCCATTTAATAGCTATACTTTTAACACCAAAGCAAAATAACTCATGATCATGTTTTTCGTGTTGAGCATAAATATAAAAATACCTTACAAGACCAAAGCGAAAATGGTCAAAGCGTGAAATGTTCTTCAAGCGATGACTTTTCACCTGGTATGTTGGTCATGGCTTGTTAACCTCCATTAAAATTCGTAATGGCACTCCGTCGCTCTGTCGTTCCTCGCAAACACATGTATTTAGGGTGAATTTTACACTCTCTGCCTCATTAAAGAGAAGAGCAGAGCGGTGTCCAGTAAACATCCAGTCTCACACGTAGAGGAGGAAGCACTCATACTTTTAAAATAATGAGGGCAATATGAAGAGCTAAAGAACATGGGAAAAGCTCCAAAACATCTCATTTGGGGTTGGTGAAATCTGTGTTTATAAACCGGCAAGGTCTCCAACTTTATATGTGCAGCAAGCAACTTTTCTAAGGGGAATTCATCGCTACCTTGTGTGAAATCTTGTTTTTAAACACCCAAACAAGGCCAAAAGATGCACCCGTCTCACCTACATTGGCTTCAATATGTTTTAGTTTTTATACATGAGATTTATTTTGGTTTTTCAAGGTGTAATTTAATTTAATTTTGATGTTTACATTATGTGTGGCAGACATAATAAGTGTGTTGAAAATGTATCTATGCACTTTGCAAACTGTTTAAGAAATGTGTTCAATGTATAAAGATCGAAATTATTTTATTATTTATTATTTTATTGCCATTGTAAGAAACAGGAAGTCACAAACTAGGAGAAAGTTTTAACTCCTGGTGCAAACAAGTAAAAACAGAATAGACATTCATACAAAGAAGAAGAAAAAAAAATGCAAAAAAACTCAATGCACTAAGTTTCAAAAGTTAGGTTGAATTACAAAAGTATAGACTTTCAAATGATTTTCGAATTCTTAGAGATTTCGCTATGATCCCTGGTTATCAATTTGTCAACTTTTGTTTCAATACGTCATGGTATTGTCGTTTTATTCTGCTGGAATAGCTGTCCTTAATACAAAGAGAAAAATATATACATATACAGTATATATATATTTTTTTATTAGCATTATTAGCATTATTTTTTGTGAGTGTACATACAGTAGCTCTCCCCACCCCCTTACTGCTGGCAGCCCCCTGTCCCGCTTTGCCCGAACACCCTCCGACAGCGTCCCGTGCTGGTGTGTGAGTGGGACAGCAGCAGAGCCGGTGATGGATGGCACTGGTGATTTTTCATGAGCTGTGCCTCTGCGGAGAAGCAACAACGCGAGCTGTCGGAAATACGGCTGGCTTTATGAAGGATTCGGCTTCCCTCGCATTTGAATGTTTCCAGCCGATTCATGTGGAACGCCGGCACATTATTCTCCTGCCCGACTTTTTGAAGGCAAACTTTATTTCTGTAACGTGTCATTAGAGGCGGCGTGTGGGGTTGTTTATGTTTGCAATTGATTTGGTAAACAATAAAAGCAGGCATATCGGCGTTGTGTAGAAGTGTGCCGTCAAACTTTGTGATACATGACTTGCGATACAGTTTAAAATGAAATTACAGATCATTTTAGATGTTAAATCACCTTCTTTTGTGGTCTGCTTTTATTTCAAACTTGGACTATAGCAACACTGTGTCTATAGCCCTGTTTCAGCTTTTATAGTACCTGCTCGCCCCTTGTTCTGTCCAGGCCGAGCTGGTAGAGTGCTGCTGGAGGCCATGGTTACCAAGGAATTTCTGTATATGATTTTGGTGGGTAGGTCACACAGATACATTCCCATGTCTAAAAGCATTATAGAAACGCAGGTTTAAGTTGATCTGAGAAGAAAAGAGCTGAGTAGAGCCGAGTCGAGTAAAGTAAAATAGAGTAGAGTAGGGAAGCGTATAGAACCGAGTAGAGAAGAGTAGGGTAGGGTAGAGTTGTGCCAAGAGAAGTAAAGTAATGTACCGTAAAGTAAAGTAGGGCAGAGAAGAATAGATCGGAGTAAAGTAGAGTGGGACAGTATAAGGTCAAAAAGGGCAGAGTAGATTAGAGTACAGTACAGTAGAGAACAGTAGAGAACAGTAGAGAAAAGTAGAGAAAAGTAGAGTAGACCAGCCCAAACCGCATTAAACTAAACCGGGGAGAAAATAGCACACATGTTTTTACTTTAGCATCTGAATTGATAAATTGATTGATTGAGTGATTATTTTAGTCATTTGAGCAGAAATTTTACAATCATAAGTATTTACAATATTTACATTCCTTTCATGACACATACATGTTGCCTTCTGTGCTTACAGTATATACTTACTGTATACATGCAAATATATAAGCATAACTATACAATCGAGCAACAATTGCCCTAGTTTCACCATGTTTTGTATATCATGTCATTTATCCTTTTCATTTACAGCATTTACAGCTCGCTAAGAAATATAGCTCCTACTTATTTATTTTTGTATTTTTTTGTGTGCTCCCTGTGTGCTCTTATACTGTCCTGTATGTCCGTTGCAACATAGAAATTTCCCCAATAAAGGAACTCATTTCTTATTTTATCTCCTCTCTACAATATCAATATGTATTTACAAATGAACCATTCTTTACAATTTCTCAGCTTGAAATGGAGTGGGAAGGAGGCCCTAAGTGAGCCCAGACACAAAATTATAGAAATAAGCATTGCTGTGTAATTCTTTGTACATTATCCTGAAATATGGCTTGGAAAATATGTGGAATAATTGGAAGAACCTCGTGAAGGTGCTACAGTGCTGTGGTAGTCACAGGGTTTGACAGATGCTCTCAGTGGACCACATGTTCACACTGTAACCACCAAGTCTTTAGTGAGAAGGCCTGAGGTGGCTCTGCGTCTGCTCCTGCGGGGAGGTAGCATCTCACCAACTGTGCTGTAAGCGGCTCCAACTACTTTGAATTATCGGGTCTCAGGCTGCGTCATGTGCAGCCTGAGACCGGAATAACTACAAATCTGTTTGCAAGAATGTGTGAAATGAGCTGAAGCGTTATCGTATATATTGGATAGACATTTGTTTTCATTTCTGGTGTTTTGCAGACAGCTATATGTTTGATCACGTTTAGAACTGTCATTGGATTAGTAGGCCAATTATCATTTTGATTCATAAATTAGTTGTTTGGAGAGTGACAATGCATTTTTTGTATACCTTTTGACAAAACAAAAAAAAAGCTGAAATGATGCCCCCGGAGACCCTCTTTGTACATACAACTTATTACAAATCAGGTTGTCCCATTAAAATACATTATAATTTTAGATCAACAGTTATTAAAATGAGAAGCGAGAGTGAGAGTGGTTAGCACTCTCGCTTTTCAGCAAGAAGGTCCTGGGTTTGAATCCCGGTCGGAACAGGGTCTTTCTGAGTGGACTTTGCATGTCCACTCAGACATGCAAAAAACGTGTGCCTGTGTAGGTTTCCTCCGGGTACTCCGGTTTTCCCCTACCACTAAAAACATGCACAAATCCTTCAGGTAAAATCCTCCAGCTCTGGTCCAAACCAAGCTGAGCATCAACATCTGGAGACGGTTCCCGGGTGCTATTAATACGGCGACCCCTGCCCCTGACGTAAGCGGCCTCATGATGGGTCAAATGCAAAGGATGAATTGCCCCACAGGGATTAATAAAGTGCACCCTTTGCACCTTTTGATCATAGAATTATAGAAAACCTCAGCATTTTCAGCATATGTGAGGATAAAACAACAATAACAATCACTCACTAAATTAGTTGAAAATACTGTAATTTCAATAATCTATTAATTAGTTCACTTGTTAAAGTCCTAGTCACCTTGAGGATCTACCTTCTCTCACTGTGGGTCCAACATTGGTGTTGGACCCACAGTGAGAGAAGGAATATCCCCTTTCCACAGAGCGACTGTAGTATCAGTAATAGTCCGTGTCATTACCGCCCTCAGAGTGTTACGATAATGTTCCTTCAATGTTACTTGTGAAAGAGTGACATATTCTGAGCCAGTCCCACTGCTCTATACGCTGCCTCTCTCTCTCTCTCTCTCCAGGTTTCTGTCAGAGTGGTCATTAGACGAAGCAGTGGTCCTAACCTCTCTTTTACTCCATCTTTCTCCTCTTGCTCCCTCCAACTATTTTATAACCCACTTCCCTCACCTTTCACACTTCTCCCACCGGCGCACCTATTTCCTCTCCATTCCTCTTTCCAGGCGCTAACCTGCTGCTTGGACCCACCATGTCATTAGACAGTTCTGCACAGCGTTTTGCACTGCCCAAGCCCACATACTTTTGCGCAAGAGCCTTGAATGCTATAGCAACCATTGTTCACATTACACCATGTTGGAATTTGACAGATACTAGCTCAAAGTTCACAACCTTTATGTGCTAATAGGAACTATGCAAGGTTGAGATATAGTAGGGATATGGACATCCTGGTTTAGTGGCAAATTTAAGTAACATGCTACTATCTTTTTTAAAAGAGATTACAGACGGGAACAAACATTACAGATCATAAATATTTAATTAAGGCAAGCAATTGTCCTCTGCATTTACCCATCCTTCCAATGCCACTGTTTGGCATGGTCAGGATCTTTGCTGGAAAAATTTAACTATGGTACATGTTTTGGATGGTGCAGTAAATTCCAGAGACAGTGCGTGGAAACCTTATATTTGACCACTGTCATTGGGAAAAAAGGGTTTATAAGAATGATAGACTGGGATTTTCTGTATTTTTTTATCTCATTTTGTCTCTCATAGTTGAGGTATGCCTATGACAAATAGGCATCTCTAAGTAATATCTCTTACAATATGAAAAGTATGAAGAAGCAAATGCAATCAATGTAATTTTCCATGTTTTGGCATCAAACTGTGCATACATATTCCAATTTATTTCAGGATAAATATGCTAAATTATTAAGAATGTATGTTTCAACTGTCCTGTCCTATATGAATGTGCAGAAACTTTATTTGTGGATAAGTATAACACATTTTTTTGGTGAATGTCAATTAGTAACAAAACGTCCTGAATGTGTCAGCCAGTACATTTGCGTCAGTGTTCTGCTGATAATCAGCACATGATGAAACAACAAGAAAATACACTTATTTTTCCTAGCCTGTTTTTCCCAACATAATAATGACGAATCAGGAGTGAAATGTTTGCCAAATAAACAGACATAAAGCTCATTTTCAATACTATTGCAAAAGTTTAAAAAAACATACTTTGGCAATACTTATTGCCAAAATAGATTGTTATGACTCAAAACAAAATAACATTTAACTGACCAATCTTTAGTTGAATATATTATCTTGTTGTTAGTGCTCTGTCGACTTAAGTTTGATTTAAATCAATACCATCTAGGTTTCACTCCACGCATTCATTTTATAAGGACGTTTTTATAGTGACCATGGAAACCAAACTCCGTGGGCAGGACTAGGCGGGTTACTCTTTTGGGAGAAGCAGAGAGACGTGGACGCCGATTGAAGAACGTCTGTATTGATATGTGATTAATCTATTATTTTAGCGGAGGAAATTATGCACAAACACAAAACGTTTCCGCGGCGGCTTATGTAAAGATTATGCCCTGGACTCGATATTGACACAATATTAACGCACCACAAGCAAAAGACCTGCGAGCGGAGTGGTGCTGCTAACTTTGGTCTCAAAAACAAAACACAGGGTGAAGCTAACAGTAAACAGACAGGGATAAAAAAGAAGAGGGTCACAGAGCAGGGCCTGCACATGATTGTTGACCAATCTGTGCTGAAGCTTTAGTTAGAAATATATTGTATTGTGTGGCCCATGTCATGTGTGACTTGGTAGGTAAATAGTGAAATAAAATACAGAAAAGAGCTAAAAAACAACCTTTCAATACAGCAAGTATATAAAAGTTCAAAGTAGCCTGTGACCAATAGAAGATTGACATCCTAGAAGTAAAAATTTGGAGGCATCAAAACTACGGAAAAAGCCACAGCCACACACACCTTCACGAGCAGAAACTATGTCTGCATTTAGCCACACGCTGCTACATGGCTCGCTCACTACTGCCGCAATTCTATCACTGTTTTCCATGACATTATTAAGCCTGGCCTTTTATAACGGAGACTCCCCACGACTTTCACAGGCAGTGAGCGCAGGCCTGGGAGTCGCTTGCCTTTGTCCATCTTTTGTCAGAGCACTTTGTAGTCGTTTATAGTGTGTAGTTTCACTGGATATTTTGTCTTTGGCTCAAATCCTTCGAGGCATTCAGCTCCCTGTGCAGAAATCTTTCCACAAAGGATCTCTTAATCTTCTCCAAATAGAGTTTGTATTGAACTTGCATAGAAGGGGAAGATTCTAATAGTAAGTTAAGACTTTTTATATTTGATTAATAAATCATAGTTTTAAAGTTGAATGTAATACAAAGTGTGTTTTTCATGTTGTCTTAAAATATATAAGTTGATATTTAAATGCATAAA